CCATTCATACACACTGTGCACACATTGTACCCCAACTCCCCAATACACAAACTCTATGACAGGCACCGACTGACCCCTTACTTTGGTAACGTTGTGTGCGAGCAGTGGTGCCAATGTTTAGGCTTTTGAGGTGTTTTGCGCTCAATATTTGTCTTATGGTTTAGCCAACGATCGCATCAATCGTTAGTTTAGTACTACTTCTTGTGTTTACTATGAATTGCACTCAAATCACAACACAATGTCTTCAATGAACACACAATTCATTGATTGATTGGCTCGGAAGGGCTCAGTTATGTGAATGAATGGTGAGTAGTGTTAGTGTGAACACTGGTTATAGTGAACCAAACGCTGGTTTAGTGTCAGTTGTGTTGATGTAGTAGTGATTGGTTTTGAGGCGAAATCGCAAATATGTGTCAACTATTGAGTGAACTTTCAGTCGACTCCAGGCATACACTTCACGTGATTTATATGTAATTGTCATTCAGTACTATATTACCCATACATGTCTCACTAATTGTTATGATTAGTAGTGTATTAATGTTGCTATTTATCTGATTATCAATTATGGTATTAATTATAGCGATAAGTGTCGACCAGTTTGTGTCAATGAGTTAACCCTTTCTCTAGTCTTTTATTGGGTTTTTCCTCAATTTTTGGTGACTTTTGTTTGTTTATTATTTTATTGTTTGTTTCATTTATTTACAGTTAATTTTGTTGTCTTTTCTCTATTTATGAATAGTTTTTTAGGGTTTGTTTGTGTTGTTGTTGAGATTGTGGCACAAAATGCCGTTGAATTGGTGTGAAATGAACGCATATCTGCTGTCTATATGTCTATACCCTGTGTTGTATTGTATTAACAGTGATATTGTGTCCATTCATTGACAGCCTCTCCCGATCAGGACATGTGATGTCGTCGACTGACCACTAATGGGGCGAAAACTGTTGTCAACGTGTGTTGCGTTCACTTCTCATTGATTTATTGGTTATGTTTTGGTTTGAAGTCAACACCACTTCTGCAACAAACACTCCGTTTTTAAATTACTTTTAACGCTATTTATATCAAAATTGAATTTTAATTTCTCGCTGTTTTGGCCGAAATATATCGCCCGAAAACACATACCACACAAACTTACGCCAAAATGTATCGCTAAATGAAATATTAAACGTAAGATTGTTTTGTATTTTTTGATTATTATAATTTTAGTTATTGTATTTTCTACCGTTAATTGTTTTTTTAATACCTGTTTGTTAGTTAGATATGATTTGTATATAGTTTTGTTACTCTTTTTTCTGTTTTTTGTTTGACTCCTATTTTGCTTTGATTTTTCATTTTTATTTATCATTTATTTTATGTTTAAATATTTGCCTATTTTTTAGTCATTTAATTGTTTTTTGTGATTACTTTTCACTCTTTTGATTAGCGATTGAATTGTGTTTATAATTATCAGTTTATTTTTAACCCAATTATTAGTGCCAAACAATTGCCTTATTATACAAACTATTGAACTAATGATTGGTTTGTCTGTGTGTTTAGACAACAGCCCAATAGTTAGCTTAACTGCAGTCAACTAAAGGCCATTTGTTAACAGCAGTGCCTTTTGTTGGTCTCCAGTACTTCGCCGTCGGACTTAACCCTTGACCCCAACCCCTCGTCGGACTAAAGGGTCAATCAATAAGTCTGTGGTTTCGGAGTTTGGATGAGAAGGAGTGAATCAAAGATGAAGTTAACTCAACAGCGGACCAGTCGTTACGACAATACACCCGAATCTCTGACCGATTGGCTCGAAGAACAACTCGACAGTCGAGGCATCGACGCCGTGGTCTACACGCGGTATATACTGAGTCTCCTGTTGGAGGACTCGAGTGATTCCGACACCGACGACAGCACCGGCTCTAACACTGGTATCTCGTCGGTGACCACTGCCGACATCAGTCGCTGCTCTTGTAAACAGACGTGTAGTAAGACTTCGACGAAATGGAAACACAAACGATATCTCAAACAGATTAACGCCAACCATAACAACAATAATTGCGTGAATGGCGACACCCATTGGTTATTGCAATCGGAGTGTTGTCTCCACCGGGAGATGAATGGCGATGAAGAGCGCAAATTAGCGGTCGTTCAGTGCTTGAAGTCTGCGTCAGAACAGGTATGTCATCACAAATGATGTCAAATGTAGTAAAAGTTGAATTAATTATGTCTGGCATTCTTCAGGAGTTCGGAATCGAGTCATTTGTGGACGAATTGTGCGCTAAATTGAAGACAATTAAGGCGTTGTCCGAAACGAGTGAATTGAGTTCTGACCCCAAATCGGATGTCTCTAACAATAATGGCATTAAAGCGTCGCCTAAAGACATGGCTATGAAATACTACGCGGCCTTTCCTGCACTCCACACCGACACCCAAACTGTTTCCAAAGCCGACACTATAGAGATCGCTGAGCGCCCGAAGAACGCCCCGAAGAACCCGTCGAATAAATACCAATGGAATGGACAGAAGATCATTGAATTCATTAGCAGCGGCGGCACTATTACCGGTGCCTTCGATGGCAATCGATTACTGCACGGATTGACTGCTGACAGCGATGGAGACACTTCTCAACCAACTCTGACCACAGATACTGATTGTCCCGAAAATGACGACAAACCAAATCCGCAGACATCGGAAAGTCGTGCGAACAGTGGTGCGAATGAAGGCAACAAACAAACTCCGGAAACCATTAATGCAAAAGTGTTTTACTGTCGAGACATCGAAAGCAAGGCATTGAACACAACTAGTGATGCTCTGAACACCTTTCTAGTCGTCAACAGCACTACAAACGTCAATACCGTTAAGCGTTTTGTTGACTGCAATGGCGAAGAGACGGACAAATTTCAGCGATTAGTCGATAAGTTTAACAGTAATATAGCGTCGATTTGGACAAAGCCTGGATCCGATGGTCTGCCCAATAAGAACGACAACATCTGGAGCTTCGACTCGTCATTCTCGTCGAACCAGTCGTCGGCCACTCCCAGCCCTAAACCCAATGCAATAGACATCTGGTCATCAATGCCTTCAAATGATAGCAATGAACGCCTCGCTCGCAACACAGCGCCCACCGCTTTGGAGGACATGTACTCAATGCACGGCATGAATTGGGAATCAAATCTTCTCAAATCGATTAATGTATTCCCTGACGACGGCTTCATTGATGGCAATCATGATCTGATCGATGAGGAGAGCGTTTGGTTAACCAATAACACCGATAAGTTGTATAACGACTCGTCTCTGATTACACTTGAAAATCACCAAAAGAATAGTCCATTCATTGAATTCAATTCGTTGTTCTCGTCGACTCCGAAGGCATCAGAAAAGGATTGTTCGCTTGAATTGTCCAAATTGTTGTCAATGGTATCCCTTCTAAACCAGTCTAAGCATCACTTGAGTCCACCGCCCGAAGAGAATTTGTTGACTTCACCGAAGACTCACTTTCAGCCCATAAAACACGACTCATTCGAAAGGGATGACTCGGATGAGGGCTCTGTTCCTGATATCACTGATAATGAAGTGAAAAAACTGGTCATTTGTTCGGATAAGTGTCCCAACAATGGGGACAAACTCAAGGAGAGTGAAGTACCCCTTAAATGCAGACCAGTGTCCACATCACTCGATGAATTGGCCTCTTTTATGGGTCCCTTCAATGACTTGGAGTTCGGTTCCAATGAATTCCTAACTTCACTGCCTATTAGTGAAGAAATGGAGTTTACAATCGGCATCAAAGAAAGTCAAATGAGGTATTGATTGAAGTAATTTGGTATTTGGATTGTGCTATGGATCTAATGATTTTGTGTATTTTAGTGACAAATGGACAAACACTGAAACAGAGATTCAGACGGAAGTGAAGTCAAAACTGGAGCCAAAACTGGAGCCAATACTAGAGAGCGAACCCGAATACCAGGACTTATATAATATGATTAATGAAGTGCTTCGTAATGGTATTGTGGAGAACGACTCTCTGGTGAAAGGGTGCTCCTCTTCGGTCGCCGCTTTGGATGACTGGTATGACTCGGATTACGACAATTGCAATGATTTGGTTGCGACGCCCAGTCGTGAGAAGCGTTTGTCTTGGAATTACTATTGGGATACATATGACATCAGTTCCGCCACTAAAAGCCAATTCTCAACGGAATCAGAGACTCCTTTCAAAGATGACAAAGTAGTCAATAGTCTTGGATTCGGTTCCAAGTTTGCGAAGAAATCTTTGAAAGAAACCACTGATGAAGCCTTTGGCGACGAACTCTTCTATAACAACAGTCGTTATGTTAACTGTTCTCTCGATGAATGTCCAGAATATGAAGAAGTTTTCGATGACTACGGTTTGCTAAATGATAATGAATTCGACGACTTTCATGCCGTTTATGGTGAGAATGAGTGTATAGACGGCGAGAATTCCTCTGAATATCTGTTGGGGAAGGATGTGGTCGGCGGTGATGTCTCCTCTTTGGGTCAGAAGTTTGATCTGCAGCTACAGCCCCGCTATAGTGAAGGTATTGATTGTGTAGATATTTGATGATTGAATTGACTTTAATTGTAGTTTGATTTGAATGATAGCTTCAAAGCGGGTTCGGAAGCCGTGCTCTTTCTTCATAGAAGGGAACTGTAAGAGAAGTGACTGCAAGTACTCGCACGACATCAGCGCCATTACCTGCAAGTACTGGGAGGAAGGCTTTTGCTTCAAAGCAGAGTTGTGTCCATTTCTTCACGGATACGCCGAGTAAGCCATCCATTCATTTATTTATCATTTGATTGTTAACTCTGTTTTGTATTTGTATGGAAATAGTGAGCAAAATATTATTAAAACAAAGCCATTGCTGTCTAAGTTGAAGAAATCGTATGCCATTGAATCGGAATCGGATTTCCCTTCGCTGGCAATACTACCCAACTCTGAGGACAACACTCCCGCACTACCAGACGTTGAGCCGCCGCTTCGTGTGGAGCAACACTTCTTTGACTTTCGGACCAAATCTGTAGTCGACAGCAATAGCAGCCGATTATCAAAAGCAAAGCTTCCGATTACTGTCGTCATGAAGAAAAAGGTTAAGAAACGCAAAGACAGAAATTTGCAGTAAATTACTGATTCATTCGCTAAAACACCACAATTTGAGTGAAACAACAAAAACAAAAAACACATAATTTTTCTCTCATTTTCTAATTGAATATTGTTTTACGAAAATGGGATGAAAATTGTGAACAAAAAAATGTCGAAATTTGAAACGTTTACAAAAAAATATATATTTAGTATAATTTCATTTAATATTTAATATTATTATAAGTAATCGTTTAATTCATTGAAAACTTTGATTGGTTGAGAAGTTGTTTAAAAGAAAGGGATTAGAGAAGAGAGAAATACATTCGTTCCGTTTTTTATATGTCTGTCCATCGCATTAGTCTATGGATCGATGTTTTCAGTTTTTGAATGTCTTTTATAATTATGTTATCGAATGAATGGATAGTATTTTATGGGAAGGAAATGAAAGTGATTTTTGAATTATATATTTGTTTCTATTTATGAGTAGAAAGTGAATTTGCGAGACATTAATGTTATTTTTAAAATTAGTAAAATTGTTATTTTCAAAAGAGATGTACCACTCGTTTCTATTTTATTAATTTTATTTTTCCTCATTTTTTTATAAAATAAATTCTCAGTTAATTTACTTTAGGTTTAATTAGTGTTTTAGTAGTTTTAACTGTTATATGAATATACAAACTCAGTTCATATCTGTGCATCTCTTAAAAAAAATTAAATTATCGATTACGAGTGAAAAACTATTGGTAAAAATATATTTAATAAATAACTATATAATAAAAAACATATATTTCAAAAAAGTACACAAAAAAATATTCACTTCTAGTCATATCACATCACGTATAATATGAATACAATACATGTGTTTTTGTGTTTCACATTATATACCCATTGTTTCAAAAGCCATTCACTCATTGAAAGCTCATTCTCATTATGACATGCATTTCGTTTTCAATAAGAATTTTCATTTTTCCCATTTTAAACATACAAAGCATTGAAAAAACTATTTCCACACAAACACACATCACTTTCAATGGATATAATTGTTTCGATGGATTTATGAAATAATAATTAATAATTGCATCTACTTATCGATCAAAAACATTAAAAAAAACTTTCCCCTAAAAGCATACTTTAGTTTAGTCGTATAGACACTGATTATATTTTTATTGAAAAATTACAACAATATTTGAAATGCAATCAAAAATCATTTTATTTAGTTAATTACTAGAGTGAGTAAATCATGTTTTTAATTGAATTTTAGTTTAATTATAGTTTTAATTTACTCCTATTCCCTCTCAATTTA